TTAATAAAACGACTCTATTCTAGACTTTTCGACAAAGTAGACTATGCCTTTTTAATACTATTTACGTTAAATAATTCTAATTGCATAACATTATTACAATGCGATAGTCCTGAATATGTATTTATATCCATATATAAAAGCTTAGTCATTTGAATGGTTTCTGTCTACAAAAGTAAAAACTAGGTCTAAGGCGTATTATTGTCTGAGACCTAATTTAACCTACTATTGCTCTAATTGGATATGTTATGGCACACTATTGAACAACACAGTGATGGGAAATACAAAGAATGATTTTTTTTTTATGTATTGACAAAATTATTGATGACAAAGAGTAACATAGATTAACAATGAATATTGAATAAGCGTGCAATCTATTCGGTTTGTTTGAAACAACACACCTAGATATAGTCTAGATAAGGAATCGTGTAGCGTCTACAATTGGTATTACATCAAGACGAAACGCAACGTAGTATATTTATTTCAGTAGTATTCCACAGCCATTACCGCTTACAGCGCTACTAGCACCCTGGGCGTGATTTCTATGGCGCCCTTTTACTAACAGTGGTAGTGCCCGCTTTAACATCTTAGCACTAGCAGGGCCGGCACGCCCGGTGTAATACTACCACACAGAAGACAGGCGTAAAATGAAACCAATGCCGTGTTTCGTCTGATGAGTGTGGTGCAGGAGGCCTAATTTAAGTCCCTTTCTCTTTACCACCCTTTTCTTATGAGAGGATGGGAAGGGGAAGGGGAAGGGGAAGTGGATTTGACGATGGAGGAAATGCATAGGAAGAGGAAATATCCTCTTTATGTGCGTCTCCTCCTCCGTCGGATAAGGGTAGGCGACGCAACTGCAATTGCAGATGTCTATGGGCAGCGGTCGCTTCGCCATTTTGGCGGATTCAGGTGGCCGCTTGCTCGTTTGCCATCTTATGTTATAAAAAAAAATAGCAGCTTTATTAGGTTTATGTGAGATTGTATAATTTTCAGATCTGTGACGCCCCTTTCTATCAATCGCCCAGGTTTCCTAACAACGCGCTACCCTAATTGCTATGTTTTGTACAGGTATAATCCAGGGAAAACTCACTGTTATTTTACAATTTTCGTAATTGTTATCTCCGCGACTAGTGTGATATAAGTTAAGTTTCCTGTATTCTTTCGTATCCGTCGTTCGATATGGGAAATACAACATACCTTATAGAGTTGTATCAAACGGGTTACGAAGCCCGCTAAGTGAGGACGTCCTCGTGTGTACAGGATGTTTCATTATTTGTACTCATATAGTTTTTGTTTATTCTCAGATAATATAGATATAAATAATGTCCATTTTTAATAGCAGATATTATTACATTTTTAAATATGTTTTCTTCTTAAGTATTATAAAAAAAAATCTATAATCTGAGATTACGATCGAATCTACAACGCATTTAATATGTTTGTTTTTTAATGGTGAAAATTCTAATACAGTTAACTGAATTGTTAACAAGTAATAGATAAAAAATGTCTTTGACAAGTGAGATAGGAAATACGCCCTTACGAAGGTACAAAAGCCGTACAAGTTGCTTTAAAAGATTTTCATTTACCATTCACCTGCAGCAAAGGAAATCCCTTGTCATACATATGCATGTAATATGATTATTGAGGCAGTATTTTAAAATAGATTAACATATGGAAAATGTGTTAAACGAAGCCCTACTTGGTAGATATCAACGTATTTTTGACCGACTTCCCAAAAGAAGGAGGTACTCAATTCGTCTGCGTGTTTTTTTGTTATTGAATCGTGACAAAAATGAACATTAATGCCTCATTCGAATAAATGACATTTTGGTTTTTAATAAATAAAAAGAAATTGTAGATTTAATGTCATAAGAGCACAAATCCTTGTACATTACATTTATTTTTTAAATGTTTTGTTATTTTATTTGCTGTTATCTCGCAAAGTTATACTTCAAAGTAGTCGCAAAAGAGTTTACAGTTAATTTTTACCTGCCAATACAATAATAATAAAATGCATTCCTTGCAAATTCTTCTACATCGCCGCTCTTAAATGGCATACCTCAAACTATTCAGGCTCTATCATATAAAAACGTTGGCAGGTAAGAAAAAAAATTCTAACCACTACAACACTCATCATTTAATTTCTTACAAAAAATCATAGACAAGCAAATCCGTGTTATGGTTTTATATCATTGACATTTTACATGATAAGTTATTTTTTTTTTGGGAATAAGTCGCTTATAAAAATATTTTAATAGTAAAGTTAAGAATCCAACGTGTAACAGAAAAAGAAAAAATAAACCGCTGCTCGTGTAGATAAGGAATTCAAAACATACGATTACGATGCAGCTGGCTGGACATCCTTTAATTTATCACATTTAAAAAGATAATCTGTCTATGGTCAGAGCAAAAAGATATTCGATGAATTTTAATAAGTTTTTTTTGTGTAATAATTTAAATCTTATCGTTAGACTGAAATATTACATTGGGAAGCTTATCTTAGACCTTAATTTTTGGCATCTAATTTGCATAATCCTGTTGTCTACTCTACGCTAATATCACAAAGAGTAAAGATTTGTATTTTTGTATGTAAACTGGATACTTCCACACTAAAAAGTCGCGATTAGAAGCTTATACAAAATATTCCCTCAAAGAAATGTCATTAAAATGTGTTAAATCTTTTAAAGGTTTTCTTTTGTATTGTAGAGAATTAGAAAATTACAAATTTATTTTTAACTTAAATATCGACCACATAGAATGGTCACCTCGTTAAAAACCGGAAACGTCAAACTGTTTACCTTTAAAGCAGACTTGTCTAGACAAGTTTCTAGTTATCGAAATAACCTAAATAAATTGTGACAAACGCTGCTCTATGATTATTGAAATAATGTACTTACAAAAATTTTCTCTAACATACGGAATATGTCCAACTTCAAAACTATTAAAGCTTTATTATATAGATGCTCTTAACGATGGTGTTAAGTCTAAGTATAATTTACATTATATGATAACAAAGTAGGGTAAAGATAAGCGTCCATTGTTTCATATTGTGACGTGAAATTGTTATGAATTACGACTTTAAACTACTATTTCTGAACGCAAACAAAGGATGGCGCGAAAACATTTGCCGCCGCTACAGTGACAAGAATGACAGCATCAACGTCAAAAATATAGATTTGTCTATAACGATCAATATTATAATTAAGAAACAATAAAGATGGCGTAAGGATAAATAAAAATTCAGGATATTTTTTAAGCTCAAATAGGATTCGAATTAGAATTAATTTACTTTCAATAATTAGTTAACATAAATGTTGCCATATATTCGAAGATACCGATGTAATATGGATATTTTATCTTTGATCGTCGATCATTTCGAGAACGTTTCCCGCCATTTCGTCAGCATTCGAAAATAAAAATCTCACGAGTCGAAAGCGAGGAATGTTCACTATAACTATACGTACCTGTTATTTGGAATTTGTGCAGTAGACACGTAGGGAACCGGTCCTGTCAGCTGATAGAACTGAATTCGTGTACTTGCGGCTGTGAAGCGCAAACTTCTGATAACATAATCTTAAACTGCGTGCATTTAATCAAAATTATTGTTTACTAACGATTATACGAGAATTATTGTATTGCACGGATTAGATTTAAATCTGGATCTATTAAAGATATTGTATTAAAGGTTTTATTTATACGTATTGTGCCATTGTTTTAATTTTGTAAGATTTATCTGTTTGTAAACGGAGTAATTAACGAGATATAAATGCGTATTTACATTGACAATTGTGTTGCCAGGGTCGAACAATCACTGGGACAATATTGTATCGGTTTTATTTAAACAGATAACTATGTTGTATTTGCGGGCTCTTAAGCTTACAAATGTAAATTATTTATGGTTACAATAAGGGTACAAATATACATTTATTGTGAACTCACCCTTATAGTCAGCGATGCATGTCGGTTTGTACCCGCCTATTGGAAAAACCGTTAGTAAGAACCCTTGCAAATGGCGCCAACCAACACGTCGTACTTGGGGTAACCTTACAAAAAAAATTCTTTGATATATCTAGTTGATTGACAAAATTAATAAATTTGAAAATAATGCAAAAACTCTGTTCCATACTAGGTTTTATAAAAGTATGTACAGTGTGTATGTAAAAATATAGTACAAAAGTTATTATTATATCTGAATTAACTTATGCGATCGATATCCCAAATTTTGACGGAATTTTCATACGTCAGTGAGAAAGTTGAGGCTTTTGATTAATAAACCTTTAAGTGAGTTAATTCGAAGCGGTCATCCGAGTTACATTTAATTATCGATTTTATTTATTTAAATATGAGATCATAATGAAGCAATGAGCACAACATGATAATAATGTAGAAACATGGCAGTGTCACTGACATGGGAAACGTGAAAACCGGTGGGACACCATCAAGTGTAGGGTTGTGCTAAGTTAATTCAAAACACAGTATTCTCTGAATACTAATTCGAAGATTTTTATGTATAATAGACGAGTCTAATCTATATCCTGCGTTTGGTTCTCAAAAATTCAGCTTACTCTATATCAGAAGTGTTAGTATTTTGTTTACAGATAGCAATTCTTTAAAGTTACTACTTATTGCTCTGTAAAATAAAAAGTAAACAAACTCGAAGGGCAACATTGCAACTGGTTGCTTTTCCTTTCTTTCAACCAGTGACACCTTGTTTTACGTGATTTTTAACGAATGTGAAAGTCTATGATACCTACAGATATTTCGTGAAAGTCGACAACCCTGACGTCGGTGCGACAGGTGCCCGATCCGTTAAGTCTGCTCACAAACGAGTTTCGATATGTTTGCAACCTTTTTAAATATCATTCCGATTAATCGTATGCCTATTAAACAATTATTCGACTCCCGGTCAATTAACAAAATCATAGCGATAAAATTAACGTGAAAAGCGTTAAAAGGAACGTATTTAAAAAAAAACTTTTTTTAATCTGTTTTATTATTTACAGATCAAACAAATATCTGCAGAAATCGGCGATAACGCGTGTTTGTGCTGTAGGAGGCTTCTTCATATCGATACCGGTGTTTTTAACAGGTAATTAATACTTGCTTATCGGTTATACGTAAATTACGAACACGTTCTTTTAGTCTTTGGCAAATTTTAAATAAGATTAATGTTATAAGAAATCATTAATAGTAATTTTTATTCATATACGTCGAATTAGAAGTTCGATTTGCATTCAGATATCGATTATCGATATTAGATTGATGAAACTAACCAAACATTATTACAATAAGATTATTTATGTGGCTTAAATTATTGTAACCACCTTGTAGTGAGATTTTAAGATGAAATATGTTATTCGGTTTGTATTCATTATTCCACGCCTTGTTTTTTTTTTAATTAATTGCTATTTGTCTTTTCCAGGGATAATACTCTACACATTCATCCAATTCCATTCAACGCCGGCTATAGTAACATCTGTGTTTATTGGAGTTGGTATAATTTTTTGCGGCTGTGCGATGGTTCACAATGTCTTCGTGTGGCAGAAAGAGAAGACGAATCTGGTTAAAGCGTTCCGAGCTCAAGATTTGAATGCAACGAATGCTACGTCACCGAATATTAGCACCTCTAATGGTGCTCTACTTGGTAATGGACATTTGAACACGACGAGCGGCAATGTCAGCTTCCATAGTGTTGCTGGGGCACCATACAATCACCCAATAACGTTGCTCCAGCAAGGAGGACCTTACATTATCAGGTGAGATGCAGTAATTATTATTGAACAAATACAAACACGTATAGTTTAAAAAATCACATTCACTTGCAACACTGATACCTATAAATGGATACGTTATGCCTTGGAAATGACAGTTTACGACATTCATTGTCTATTCCTATCCGCACTACCTCAATCAGTCGTTACTTACGCCAAAATAGCGGAAATTGAAACTGCACATGATAATATGGTTATAGCCTATCCATTTATAGATTTAAATTAGATAGAGGTGCATTTACAAAGGATTTGAACGATTTTTTTTAACTCTTTCATTACATTAAATAATGTATTCGATAATAAATAGTGTAATATTTGTTCATTTGTAGGCCACCGACGAGCACGCCGCCGGGTGAGGGAGCTGCGACGCCGGGTGTGCCCGCCGCCACCATAGACCTCAGCCACGATGCCCACGAGCTCAGCACACTGGTATAAACACGCCACGTATCATAGACAACATAGTTTCGGTATACCACGTGTTATAGACTATCAACTCTAGCGGGAACACTTTTCAAAGACAATCACTTATTTTTTAAGTGCAACGACTGAAGCTTACCATAGACAAGACATTTTTAATCTGTAAGCACAATTGTGGCTACAGAATATTAAACTTTATAAGAAGTTATAAATATTTTTGTTAAAAGAAGGCACCATTAAAAACAGTTTTAAAACTAAAAATGTTAAATCAAATTTGTTAAAACTAAATTTGAAATTAACGAATCAGGTTGTGATGACGTCATTAATGCTTGTGAATTACAAGTTTTTAAATTGATCGAAAGTATGGCATGTTTTTTTTATATTCGTTCAAGGTCTACTAAAACTTTATTATACAACCTTGAGTCTAAAACATGAATAAATTGATATAATACTTGTTATAAATCCAAGGCAATAATTTGTATGGTGTATCATAGATTACGTACGTATTGTCATAAAATCTTCAAAGAATATTTAAAAGTGCCATTTCAACAGAACATTGTAAAATAATATTTTAGCTACCATAATGGTAAAAGCCTAATAAAAAAATAAATTTTACAATTTTGACATTTATTAAAAATATTTCTAAACGAATCGAATTATTTGTGCTTTTGTAAAAATGGCCTAATAATTCAATGTGCAATGAAGTCGATATGAAGAAGCTTGAAAGACCTGATTTGTTTTTATTTGTATAATAAAATAATTTTGTAAATAGTTATTTTAATATACTGCCATAGCAGTAATTGCTTTGCCATGTTTTATATTATTATATTTTATAGTGTTTTGGAAAACACAACGTAAATTATAGAAGCCACAGATTATGTAATAGCGGAAAATAAACCAGAGATAATATTTTTAACTTTTTCTTAAATATTAAAAGTTAAAATAAAACAAATGTTTTGAAGATACATGCTTTTATTTAGTCGTTATTTTTAAGGTCTTTGTATTTTTACAGAGTTTACAAAGTTTTTTTTTGGCTGAATATTATGCGTGTGTCATTTTCTGTAACGTAGATTTCATAAAAAAATGAAACCCACCAATCAGATTGAACTGTTCATGATTTTTTTATATAAAAAAAATATCTAAATGTATATTTTGTACATAGTAATACTCAGGAACATGGAGGCATAATTTAATTTATTTTTAATAGATAATATTTCTATTTGAAACGGTAGTTTGTGTTATGTGACACTAAAAATAAAATATTATAAAAAAATGTTCTGCTGTTTTATTTTACACAATTCAATGTATGGTGTTTCGATTTCGATTTTCCTTTGCCCTGTAAAAAACAAGAAATTTACACTAGTATAAAAGAATTGAGATTTATATGTATTTACAAAAAAAAACAAAAACGTACATCAAATTTGTACATCAAATTGGTTGAATTAAAAAAAAGTTGTGATGCAATTTAGTAAAAAAATAAATAAAAAACTATTCAATATTTTCTCTGCAAGTTTACATTAAGTCAGAAAGTAAGCGAGACATTTTCTTCGATATTCACTTTTCGTATGTCTAAAAACTATTAAAAAAATTTATTTTATAGGATTTTTTGCCGATTTTTATAATTTAATATTTACCTCTTCATTCCTTGGTATAACCCAGTATAGTATCCACTCATGTACCAGCTGAGCAGCATTGAGGATAGCGCCTGCTCTTCACAACTGTGCTCAGACCCAAAGCCTATCGGAGGGGGAGGAGGCAATGGCATTTCCATTGAATTTAACTGTGGTATATTAAAAAAATCTTTATAAAAAAAAAACACAAATATCATTAAAGGCTAATTTTGTTAAAAAGCGAAAACACTGCTCAAAATAAAAAAATGACTAACAAAAAAATGTTTTTTGACTATTTTTTTTAAATTTCGACATAAACAAAATTCAAGTAAAACTTTTATGTTCAATATCCAATTATAGATAGCATAATTACTTACATTTCCTAACATAGCAGGATTAAACATTGGTATCTCAGGTAAGTTCATTTTGCGTTGATTTTTTTTCTTATTTAGTGATTTTTTCTTTTTCTGGAATGATCCATCTGGAAATTTCAGTAGGGTTGTTATTTAATCCAATTGTGAGTTCAGAATTACAAAAAAATACAAAACACACCATAAAAATTAATAAAACAAGGCATATGTCAATTAAATTCGTCACAAATGTAGTACATAGTCTGGAAGAACATATAGGCTATTATTTTTTTACCAGTGTCTATGTACCACTGGTAAAAACTAGTGCAATTATAACTAAACACTTAAAACGAATAGTACATAGTTTTAAAATACTAACCTGTACTTCCTAAGCTTGTGCCAGCATCACTACAGTCCATATTCTCTAACAGTGATTGACTCCCAAAGCCATCATCTTTATCACACAACGCCTGCTGAGTTTGCCGCATCCTCTCGTGTTTGCCCAAAGTTGGCTTTAATGTACTAATTGACACTATCTCTGAATTATCATAACCTAGAATAAGTGTCATTATATTACCAAGTCAGTCCAGGAATGTAAGAAAAACTAATTCTAATTGGTCTCGGTTCACTTGCAGTGATGCAGTCACCGCCATAGATATTCGTAATTGCAAATATGTTGGCTTTCATGATCAATGGAGGTGGAAACGGACAAAAAAAGGATATTTCCACTTCCTATATATCTGCTACACCATTAAATTAGCTTTCCTTACCCATCATTACCCATAAGAGATGATGGGAAGGGAAATAGACTAAAATAATGCCTCTTTCATGCACACTCAACAGATGAAATGTGGAATTATTTAGACTTCACACCTGTCTTCTGTGTTGTGATTGCAAGAGGCGAGCTGGTTTATTCATGCAAAGATTTTGAAGGGCACTCTATGGCTGTGTAGGGAAAGTGGATTTCAAAATCCAAAGTGATCTGAGCTATCTACTCTTTGAAACTTATAAAACAGTTACTTTACCTAAGAACTTAACTACACACTCTTTGTCATTGATGAGTCTTAGTACAAATGCTTCATATTCCTGGCCGTCCCCCTCATATATAGCTCTGCACGGCATCCCTGCCTGCCATTTTACACTTTTCTTTTGTGGACATTTTACTTTCTGTGATGTACCATTTTTTGTTTTTGAATGTTCTGTGGAAATAAAATAATAATCATATTTTAAGAATGAATTACACTTAACTATACTTATATTCTAAAGAGGAAAGATTTGTTTATTTGTATTTCAAATAACTCAAAAAGTACTAGGCCAATTTTAAAAATTCATTAATTTAAAAAATAATAACATGTTTATGTTATTATTTTTTAAATTGCGGACATAGTCGTGAGCAACAGTTATTTTAAAAAAAGAGAAGTGAAAGCATTCCTAAAAAACTTATTTCATCTTTGTCTGTTTATATTAAACACAACTTGAGGTAATTAATAGTCTGGTATATTGTAAAAAGTAGATGTTCCTTTGAAAATCTATGCAACAAAATTAATTAAAGATTTGTATGATTACTTTAAGAGGTTATGTTTTGAAAAATTGGAACTATGTTTCTTTTTAGGATAGCTGAGTATTTGAAGTTTGAACGTTACTTACCTTTCTCTGGGTTTTTGACTGAATGTTGTGTATTAGTGGACATAGCTACGCGCTTTGCTACCTCAGCATTGGCAATTTTTAAAGCTTTATCATATGCATCGTTCAGTTTTCTATCGTCCCATATGTCTTCTTCAACATTCTCGTCTTCTGTTTCTGACTGAAAAGACAGTATAAGGTCAATAAAATTAAAAAAAAACCATAATAAGATTACATACAAAATACAATAAATTGTTACTTACAAGATTCATTCCTTTTACGTACAGAAGTTCTCCGTTCGACATATTACTTGATTTTTTTTTTTATTTTTAGAAATATTGTCTTAGTACTACGCAAAATTTAAGAGTTTGAAACTATTACTTGGTTTTTGATAAAAATTTGAATTGAAAAACTTTTTTAAGACAAACTGTATTTTGTGGATGTAGATGTCAATGTCAAAACATTTTTAATTACAAACTGTCAAAGTGTATGAACCAAAAACCGAACCCTAGAATGCTGAAAGCAGATTTTTTTGTAATAACTTAGAATTGATTTTAAACTTAAAAAAAGCCTAATGTTTAAATTTTTACAAAATACAGCTGATTTGATAATTTTTCTAACTCAATCTAATTATTGCTTTTCCACAAAACCAGTGTAATCTTAGGTAAACTACTCTGTGTAAACTAAATCGGTGGGTTTCAATGTCAACGTCAAACAGAAATGTCAAAAGTTGTTTTGGTTTTAGTTTACGTATTTTGTTTAAACAAATCATAAGAACCACCCTAAAATACTTTTGCGTATGCTTTACGCATAAATTTTAACATTTCACCATATGTTAACTGATATATCAATTTTTAAGATTAATGCATTTACTAATACCATACGTAGTTTAAAATGTTTACGTCCAAATGAAATCGTTGCCAGGGGTTTATTAAATTCATTAATTATAGTTTAGTGTTACAACTTAGTATAATTGTAATTCCAAAACGTATTTTTGAAAATGCAAGCTTAACTCATAATTTTTCTCTATCAGCATCAAGTATGGCTGGCGTAGTTAATAACTCTTCAAAAAGACGAAGTAACGAAAACAAATCACATGATTATTCTCCTAAAAGACAGAGAAATGATACAACTGTCAATACTAAAGAAGAAAATGAGGTACTAGAGGAAGGAAAGGATGTTTTCTCTTTACAAGTCTCAAATATACCTTTTCAATGGACATTCGAGCAGATAACAGATTATATTAATGATAATGTAAGTATAATAATTATTTCTAACAGCTTAAAAATATTTATTATTTCATGAGTTCAAAAACTAAGTAATAAAAGTTTTTTTAAGTATTTGCAATGATGAGAGTATGATTGGGGAGGTATGACATGAACTAGAAAGTTTTAAGATTAAGTGTAGATGACTACAAAGGAAGAGGAAGATCAAAGAAAGTATGTAAGAATTGTGTGAACATGTCCCCTACATGCTTAAGAAGGAAATTAATTTAGATTTGTTAAAATAATGACTGTTTATATAAAATACTCTCAAAATTTGTATAAACTGTACCTTATTAATTTTATAAATGCCTCATCCATTTAAATTTGGAACATAGTCTGGCAGAACACAAAGTTTACTACTTTTGTTATTTTTTTAAATCTACATTGATCAAGTCACATTGTAATGTCTTTTTTAGTGTCTTGATGTGTACACATTGAAGCAATTAGATGGTGGGGATCTTGAAACTGGACAGAAAATACAACTTTCTTTTATTAATTTCGAGCAATGTAACAAAGCAAGGAAACAGCTAAGACTGAAGACAATTGATGGGAAAAAACTTGATGTGGAATTTAAAAGTAAATTGAATTAATTTAATTTTGTTACTATACTGCAGAAAATTGTGTATATGTTTTTTTTATCTATATCTATACTATTATAATAAAGCGTAAACACACACTTCTTTGTTGCCTAAGATGTCAGCTATTACAGCATATTATTGAATAGTTCTTTTTTTAATAAAAAGCCCTACATTTACGTCACGCTTTAGGCTCTATATTTTCACGCCATTAAGCTTACGGGGTAAACATTTTGGATAATAAACCTAATGTGGGAAAGAGACCATAAGTTGCTGCCAACATCAAGGAAGCAATTGTCATTCGTGCATTTGACATTTCATGCGGATGAAGCCGCACTGGACCAACTAGTTAGTTAATAAAAACAGGCTCGGGCCATATAAATATTAGAACTTAAAATAGTGTAAATAAAAGGCATGATTATTTTTTAATTTAGTAATTCCAAAATCAGAATTGTTTTAACCTTTACTGCTAGAATTCGAAATTTTTTTGCAATGAGAACATTGCAAAAAAATATTTTGTGAACATTGCAAAATATTTTTTTCATTTTATAGAAATTTTGTCATACTTTCCTGATATTTACACACGTAAAGTAAGAATACTTCGTTTTGATTTTAAATATTGTATATAATTTTCAGTTCCCGGTGAATCAGACAGTGAAGGTGAAATGGAACCTTTACCCCAAAGCAGGTACATCTTACAGTTACATCTTTATTAACATGTCTTCATCACCAGCTCAATACATCCCCAACGAGGGGCTCGGAGCCTACCCTAATAAGGGGTGACTAGGCTATAGTCAACCACGCTGGCCAAGTGCGGGTTGACTTCTTGATCTTTGAATTCTTCGCCGATATGTGCAGGCATCACGATGTTTTCCTACACCGTCATCCCTTCCTCCGAAAAATCGAAAATCACATTGGTACGGCGGGATTCGAACCCAAGACCTTTAGATTACAAGTCAAGTGTTCAAATCACTGAGCCACCGACGCTCTGATTAACATGTCTTACTATTATTATAAATGCGAAAGTTTTAATGGATTGATGGATTTGTTAAAGTGTAGCCTAAACTGGTAATTGGATTTCAATGTAATTTGGTATAGATGTAGACAGTTTTTAAGATTACATAGTCTACTTATTATTATTTTAAATAAGGTAGCATTTCAACCATACCTTATGTGATGTGCGGTAAAGTTATTTCATTATGTTACAGAATGATAAGTCGACCAATACCAGTAAGGTCGTGGGATTCTAACATAGATATCTGGGCAACGGAACCTACCGGAACTTTTGGTCTGAAACCATCTTATTTAGAGTCATTGGGAATCAAACTGCCTATAGATAAATGGATACATGTTTCCAATGTAAGTATGTTACTGATTTAAGTGTGAATTGGACAGCTTAGCAGATGTTGATGAAATTTGTCACCTACAGAATATTTAAAATATGTTTAAATAAGATAGATTAGTTTGACAATTCATTTCAAATTTAGTAGGGATGGGTTATGGGAAGAACACAAAAAATTCTATGCAATATATTGTTGGCAAAAGCTAGTTTTATATGAATAGAAAATAATTTCATAAAATTCAATTTAGATCAATTTTGAATGTAAATTTCAAATATATTAGAAAAAAACAGCTGATTTCTGTGAGAAGGCTTTTATTAAACTATTTTTTTAAACAAGAAAAAAAAATGTATAGGAAAGAGTATTGAAAATCTCCTAATTTATTTTTAGATACTTTCATATATATCTTACTTCCTACTAATGAATAAATGAGAGAGAGAAAGTTTAGATGGATGAATGTTAGAAGACTCCGGAGACTCAATGACTCTCAGAAATAACACAGATATAGAACATAGCCTGGAATAATACATAGGCTACTAATTACGTTTTTTCCTTATTGTATTAATTTAAATGGATGTATGTTTTTTTTTATTGGGCAGCCTTTTTGCCACTCTCGTGGTTCCCTTGACATACTAACTCAGGGACCTGGGTTGCGGGTGTAATATTTTTTTCAGTGTGTTTTTATTTGATATTTGGCATAGACATAGAGTATAGTATGAAAGAACACATAAGTTACTTTTTTAATCTACAAACTTTATATTATTTTTTTTTTATTTATTTCTACAGGGGGCTTTGTCGCGAAGCGACGATAACGCCCCATAAATCTTAAACGAACAAAACTTAATTAACTGATTGTTTTCTTGAAACAGATGTCGGCCAACTCAAACACCATCTCGGCCTCGTCCGTAGACGGGTAAGCCAGGATAGTGTTTAAGTGACCGACATTACATCCATAACCCTTAAAATAGTTGAGTCTAACACGTTCGTTCCGAACACACTCCAATACAACATGCTGAACATCTTCAATTACCCTACACTCACTGCAATTGGGTGAATTAACTTTTTTAACTAGCCATCCAAACTTGTTACCTGGAATGTGCCCGGAGCGTAACCTCATCGCAAATGTCATATTATCTTTGAACAGTTCAGATGTGATAAATCAGAATTAAAGGAAGTGTTAGAGCTGGCGGGGCAAGTAGTGGTATGTCGTGTTGTCTGCGCCGTCAACAAATACGCTACTGTTATGTATAGTCATCCATTGGAAGCTGTACAAGTAAGTTTTTCATTATTTACTAAATGTTCCTCAGCATAACATAAAGTTTTATGCGTTTTTAAGTGGCAGCTCGCTTGTTTGCCAGAAATGTCAAAATCAAATGCTCAAATAGTGCAGGTCTTTGCTATTGGATAATAATTACCGTTACCATGGCAATATCGCTTCTTTGCTATTGGCTTGTTTTTGTCCTCTTCTTGCATAACGTCTTTTTCAATTTTTTTATCTCCTAATTTAAATAACATGAAAATATATAGCCTATAGCGTAGAAGTGTAGAGCTTTTATTATAAAAATGATTATTTAAAAAATATGCTGCGATTGCTGACACCCTACATAACAAAGAAGTATTTATGTATTTAAAACTAGCTGGTGATTGCAACTTACTCTGCGTGAAATTAAAAAATATAGCCTGTCACTCACCGATAACGGTGAAAGAATTTTTGAAATCGAAGAAGTAGTTTTTGAGTTATTTCAATACTTACAAATATGAAAATCTTTCCCCTTTATAACATAAAGTACAGATTAATTATCAAATATTTTATTCTAGATTACCTAACATTAAATATATTTTTGTGGTATGCAAATTTTTTTAGGCTGTAGCAATGTTGAATGGCCAAACATTTTACGGACAAATTCTCAAAGTGTCAATGTATAGATATGACGAAAACGACATATTACTACCAAAAGGTCTAGTAAAAGTTGGCCCCGGTTTCGGAATAGATGGGAAACCTTTAAGAGATATAGTACAGCATTACGAGAGATATTTAAATGGCAGAACTAATTCTATTAATGAAACATTATTCAATATATCAAATGACACAGATTTAAATGGTGAAAATGAAAATAACGATACGAATACAGAAGATGTTATAATTAACAATCAGAATAATAACTTAAACGAATCTGGATCAACTGGGAGTAAAAAATCTAATATTTCGATAACAATTACGCAAAATCCTCCACGTCCTGATATACCAATGGGTCCTAGTATCTTATTACATCCAAATGGTACATCTAATGTGACAGTAACACAATTTTCTCAACCAATAATAAATCAATTAGGAAACAAATCATTTGGACCTGGTCATCAAACAGGTATTTTTTTTATTCCTGCTGTTTAGCTTTCGTCCGCGACTCCGTCCGCGTGAAATTAAAAAAAAACCAAAGCGAGTAGCCTATGTGTTCTTCCAGACTATCCTCTACATCTATACCAAATGTCATCGAAATCCGTTCAGCCGTTTAGGCTACAAACTCTAACAAACATCTATCCATCTAAACTTTCGCATTTATATTAGTAAGATTTTTTTTTCAAGGTTATCCCATCCCAGGACCGGTTTATGGACCCCAGAATATGGTTTCCCCAACGTTACCGCAGGACAGATATAAGGATCCAAGAATGTTTTCTGGACAACATCAGGGTCCAAGACCTCAAGGGACCATAGCCCCTAGTAATAGTTGGGGTGGATCTAATATGCCCCCAAATAGAAATGTTTGTTTGCCACAAAAAACATCTTCGGTGGTGGAATTAAGTAATGTAAGTATATCTGATAGATTAGTGCCAGTTTTTGACGAGCAAAAAAAAAGTTATTCACATAATAGTGCTATTTATGGCACGCCAGTGGTTCCTTATCCCTGGTCTATGTGTATCCTAAGGGTTTTTTTTTAAATCCTTATTAGACCAAAAAGGTGTGGAGTGTATCGCTGATCCTTTTTTAACGCTATTTGATACGGAATGTCGTCCATTTGTGTGGTGTTTGTGTTTTCGCTGTGAGGTGAGTCTGCGTGTGTATTGTGCAGTGCGCTTAAACTGGTTATCCTAAGGGTTTCCCTTAGTGATGTATTGTGTGTCGTCAGCTCCCTCTGTCGACGACATTCCCCCTGCTGTCAGAGAAGCTGGCGCAGGTCGGTCAAGTGATATCGCTGGAGTTAACGCGAGTTGGCTGTGCGCTCGTTCGCTTCGCCACGCCCGCGCACGCTGAGGCCTGTTATTGTATCCTTTTTGTTATCTGGGGTTTACTTAAATAAACTGGAGTTTAGTTAAATAAACTGGGGTTTACTTAAATAAACTGGGTTTAACTTAAATGAACTGGGGATTATTTAAATACACTGGGGTTTACTTAAATGAACTGGGGTTTACTTAAATAAACTGGGGTTTACATAGCTTTTAATTGGGAAAAAAGGATTAGTCAATCATTGGTAAATAGGGTCGATGACTTTTAACAAAGGGAAGGAATTTTATCTAAAATGTAAACTTCCAAAATTCAAAATTCCAAAATAATATAATGCAGGAGGAGAAGAAAGGAGTTAAATGATCTAGTTGACACAAGTAAATATTTTTATATAAATTGACGACTGCTATCCAATTTTTGTGTAGTTCTAAATTATTTTTGAAATAACATGAAATATAGTTTTCTTAATGATTAGTATAATAAAATATTATTGTAAGACATAAGAAATTCTTTAACATTCAATTCAGTACAATACAATAAATTGTTCGTGATGGGAAATACTATAGAAGTGAAGTTTCTGTAACTTAAGGTACGTATTAAGTTATGATTTAGATATATATTAAGTGATATAATCTTTATTGAGATTAATTTAAGTTAGATATATTAATTTTATCTTAAAGTATGTTCTTTACATTGCAGGCACCAAAGCAACTTACATGGATGTTAGAGTTAAGTTATCTTTACATGGATAATGTTAGAATTAAGTTATCTTAAGTTATTTTAGTTTAGTGTAAGATGAATAAGCTATATCGATAAGTTTGGTTTTAATTATATTTGTTTAATGAATTAGTGATATTTCAAATACGAAACTTATTTTTTTAAGTTATTAAAAATAGATTTTTTAATATGAAATTTAAGCCTAAAATTGGAATATACGACGAATTCGCATGTTCATTTGATTTTTAAAGCTTTTTAAGTTTTTCTTACACAATTTTATTGAATACTTGAAATTTTATTAAATTAAGTGAGATGTTACGATAATTAAAAAAGTGATTGTTTATGTTATTTAAAAAAAATGTCTTAGTGACAGTAACTTTATTAAATAGTATTTTAATACTAAATAATGAAGTAAATTATAGCCTAAACTAATTTAAAACCCTGGCTTCAATCGCTTTATTAATTCACTTTTCTAATAGCAAATTAATTAGTTCCTTATATTTCCGCACTATGGAGATACATTAGATACTACATTAGAGGAAGTTTGAAAGTAGCGCCAGTGGTGGAGAAATTGAGAAGCAAAAAGTTGGCGTGGTATGGACATGTTATGCGACGAAATGATGGGGACATAAACCAGAAAGTGTTGAGATTGAATGTGGATGGCTACAAAGGAAGAGGAAGACCGAAGAAAGTATGGATGGATTGTGTGAAAGAGGATATGCTTAAGAAAGGAGTGGATTCAGATATGACGGCTGATAGAGATGTATGGAAGAGCAGCATACTGTGCCGACCCTCCATAAGGGATAAGGGCAAGTGCATGATGATGATTTCCGACCTATGGAAAAGTTTTCTAATTTCCTGGTCATCCTATTTTTAAATTATTTTTAATTTTTATTCATTATATATTAATACATTTTGCCAAATAAACATAGAGTTAAGTTTAGTTTGTAAAATTAGGATAAGGTAAATGTAAGTTTGAATTTAATAAACTATTTAGCTTTTTTTTAGTTTTATTTGTATACTTAGCTAAGACGATATCTTATGTCTGTATATCTTAAGTTATTACTATAGTTGGATAAGCCTAAAATTTTGATGTGTTTTGCTGAAAAGTGGTAGAGCCCGCTTTAACATCTTCGTACGATGGTTCCGCTCGCCCACAATACCACGACAAAACAGAAGACACGCGTGAAGTGGGAGCAATTCCGCGTTTTGTGTTATGAATGTGGTGCCGGTCCCAACTGAAGTCTTGTTCCTTCTCCCCCTGTTTCTTAAAAGAATGAATGGGAATGGAACTTGGGTTTGACGCTGGAGGAGACGCATAGGAAGGGGATATAATCTTTATGTGCGTTTCCTCCGTCTATTAATGGTAGAGTAGGTAGTCTAAATTAACTATGGGGGGGAGGTCTCATTAGTATCTTCTTATTCAAAGTAGGTTTTATATTTTACATTTTACATAAAATGTTCAACTTCGGGGAGGGGGGCATAACCCCCCTGGATCCGCCGTTGTAGCGGGGGGATGTAGTTACCCTATTCTAGCGACGTCCATTTATCGGATCTTTCTTAAAAAATTATTTAGCTGTGTACTCTATGAGGTAGCAAGAAATTGTATTTTTGTATAATTATAATCAAAGTGAAAATATTTATATCAGTCGCGTGATGTTAATATCGTATTAACCTAAGTATGACGATTATGTCTGATTATAAAATGTTTTTTCATTGTGCAGTATTTAAAACTCGATTGACAAAACACAAGATATCGCTAGTTGTGTCACAGCGTGTGATTTGAACTTTTGAAGGTTACAATAGTAAAAAAAAAATGTTTACACTCGTAAATTATCACTGTATAAATATGTTTTTATAGGAAATGAGAGGGATAATATTTTGTTAGCCACTTTTTATCCAAAATTGCGTAGTTTGAGCGCTAAAGGGGGTATATGAACTATTTAACATCTATTTAAATATAACGAAATTAATTCTAATCATATCAATGTTTCACATTTTTAAAGTAATTATAAATATTCAAATATAAATAAGCGTCAAATCAAGAGCTTCGGTGGCTCAATGGTTTGAACACTTGACTCGTACAGGTCTTGGGTTCGATTCCCGCTGTACCAATGTGATTTTCGATTTTCGTATTTTCATATGTACATAATTTACCCGACGTTCTTACGGTGAAGGAAAACATCGTGATGCCTGCACATATCGGCGAAGAAATTCATAGATATGTGTGAAGTCAACCAACCCGCACTTGGCCAGTGTGGATGGCCTAGACCCCATATTAGCGTAGGCTCCGAGCCCCTCAATGGGGACGTATAGTGAACTGGTGATGATGAAATATAAATATATCTGTAAATAATTAACCTGTGAACACTCTATATTCCTAAAAATATACAATGACTTAAAATAATTCATAAATCAGATAGCCTTGTTGAACTTTATAAAATGTTTTTATAAACACAATGACAAGAAAAGATAAAAATAATGCTTTGTCATGTATTACGCAAACTAACGCCATCTATCGCTGTAGTCAGGTCGAATGTTTGCGCTTCTTCAAAACAAGTCATGTCCGTAGAATTCCACTGCCATGATATTTAAATTGTCCATTTTAGCCTCCGTCTTGTAGATTTTTATTAATAAGTAATTGAGAACAAAAAAATAGTCTTGTAGATTTTTATTAGTCATCTTGGTAATATTATAAATACCAATGTTTAGATGGATGGATGTTTGTTAGTTTGTAGTCTAAACTGTTAAACGGATTTCTATGAAATTTGGCAGAAATATAGAATATAGGCTGGCAAAACACACAGGCTAGTTACTAAGTTTTCTCTAATTTCACGCAGATGGAGTTGCGATGAAGGCTAGTATATAGACGAGAGTATTTTAACGAAATTACTCCGTATTTTTTCTCCTAAACTACCCACTTTTTGATACAAGGGTTTCTTGTACTATGTTGATAAGGACAATGAAACTTTTTTTGAAAAATTTAGCCCCTAAAGGTCTAAAGGGAAATAAAATTCATCGAACAGAATTACAATGGAAACACAATTATTAAACTGCGCGTTTTATACTGCAAATGTCTAAATAGGGAAGGGATGACTTTGTTTTAGATTCTTAAACCACACTTGGACAAAGTCGGGAAACAGTAAATCTATATATTTATGTCTATACATATATTAAAATTGAACAGACACTCTGTTTATAATAAGAAAAATTACAGATTTCGGAACGATGGTACTGTCTGTCTGTTCGCAAGCCGCGTTTGTTTCGGGTAATCTCCGAAACGGCTGGGCTGATTTTACCGGGACTTTCACTGGAGGGTAGTTGACATAGACGGGCATATTATAGGCTCCTTTTTTTAAAATTCCGAGCTCTCAAAATGGCGACAGGACCGCTATCTCTGGAACGGTTGGACCGATTTGGACGAGCCTTTGACTGGAAGGTAGCTGTTTAAAGGTAGATGCACATGGGAATTCTGCGTTAATGCAGTTTGCGGGCGACATCACTTTGTAAAATATTTTCCTTATCGAACTAATTGAATTGGAAAACATTGCTTTCGATGGAGGTATTACATGCAATGTTTTTTGATTTTGAATTACACATTATCTTCGTTTCCTTTGATAAATCGATGTAAACTTATCGATATTATATAAATATTGAAATAATCTGTTATCAAGTAATATGCTTGTATTATCATAATAACGCATTAATAATCACAATATATTCTATAAGGTAAATTGTTTTTCTACGGCGTGTTTATTACTACCTTTCGCTCGCGACTCCGTCAGCGCGCGATTTAAAAAAAAACAAATGCAAGTAGCCTATGTGTTCTTCCAGACTATCCTCTACATCTATGCAAAATTTCATCGAAATCCGTTTAGACTACAAACTCTAACAAACATCCATCTAAACTTTCGCATTTATAATATTAGTAAGACATAAACTTTATTAAATAATGTTTATCGTGTCCCCTGCATTTTTTGTATCATTATATACCATACTAGCGGTTGTTCGCGACTTCGTCTTGGCGGAATTAAAAAAAATCTATTATATACTATGTTACTAAGGGTTAACATGACGCTCCGGGGACGGCGGCGAATAGAATGACATTTAGTCTGTCAAAATCGGTTCACGTATTTATCGTACGCGCGATTTGCATTTGCTATCCCTCTCATTGTCATCGACTAAATAGAGACAGCAATATACGTAAGTGACACAGCAAGAAGTAAGCACATCAAACATGACTTGCAATTTTATCATTGATTTTTTCGCGCGTCGACTCACGGAGTCTCAACCATCTCAAATCCATACCAGAATAGACAAACATTATCGTGATATAAAACGTAAAAATATCATGCTGATATAAATATTTAGCCATATAAATATGTTGGATGTCACTTCATACGATCACTTCTGAACAGTGTAGCCTTCATCATGTTGTCTTACATTGTAACTGGGCTTTTCATACTTTTGTTAAGTTTGTACTATTACGTAACCAGAACGTTCGGTTACTGGACATCTCGTAATGTCGCCGGTCCTAAACCTAAACCTCTATTTGGTAACATCATGGAATCCGCACTACGGAAGAAAAATATCGCACTTATTATGCACGAAATATACCAAGACTATCCTAAAGAGAAGCTGGTCGGTATTTACAGGATGACCACACCTTGTGTATTAGTAAGAGACTTGGAGGTAATCAAGCATATAATGATTAAAGACTTTGATATGTTTGAAGATCGAGGAATAGAGTTCAGTAAGGAAGGATACGGTGCTAATTTATTCCATTCGGACGGAGAAACATGGCGTGCGTTAAGGAATCGTTTCACTCCGATATTTACTTCTAGAAAACTAAAGAATATGCTGTATTTGATGACTGATCGTGGTGACAAATTCGTACAAGGTATTGAAAGAATAGTTAAGGATGAACCAGAACAAGCTGTGCTCAAGCATGTCCAACTTTACACGATAGCGACAATATCAGCATGCGCCTTCGGTATTGACATCGATAAGTTGGGAAAAACACTTGATTCTTTGTTCAAATTAGATGAAATGGCATTAAATACTAATTATTTCTCCGAATTGGATATGATGTTTCCAGGTATTTTGAAACATATGACTTACACCATCTATCCAGCGTTAGCTCGAGAAATTTTCGACGGTATAATCAAGAATGTTATAACAGAAAGAAACGGGAAACCGAGTAATAGAAATGATTTTATCGATCTTATCCTAGCATTGAAAGAGAAAGGTGAAATCGAAGCTTCCAGAACTAATACGGAAGATAAAATAAAGCCGCTTGAACTGACAGAAAGTGTCATGGCCGCACAAGCGTTCATATTCTTCTTAGGTGGTTACGAAACTAGTTCAACTACTATGACATTTATGATGTATCAATTGGCTTTAAACCCTGATATCCAGAATAAAATGATAGAAGAAATCGACGA